TTGGAGAAATAGCAAAATCAACCATTAAAGTAATTGCTCCTAAATTAAAGTTAGGCGCTATTTATAGAAATGAATCTTTCATGCGTAAACAGCCACCCTTCGAGGTGGGTGATTTTCTTCAAAATGTAATGGGACCACTATGAAAGTACCCCCTTTCTAACAAAAAAAGAATCATTAAAGTCGGTTCACAAATACCGGAGTTATCGCGTAACATACATACCAAAAAAAGAACATACAGTCGAATTGAGAACCTCCTCCTTTTTTGGAATCGGTTAGAAATGTAAGTATGAGAAAAAAGTACAAAGCAATTGCCATATCCTCAATAAAAGTGTCATAAATGACGTTAGTGACATAGAACCCACATAACAGCAAAGAGTTTGAGATAAACATCATTAATACAATTTCATATTTAACGTAGGCAAATACGTCGTTTATTATCTGCATCCAAGCGAGTGCTTAATAATGCAAGTGCCTGTCCCATTAGCGCTTTCAGAGCTTCGAGTGCACTCTGCGCGATATAAATATTATACTAACTCTAGTTTTCATATAATGACTGGCGTTTTATAGTGTTTTATACGAAGTTTAATTTAGAATACTTAAATAAGTTATGGTTATGCGTGTCGCTTACCACTTTTCCTCTGGAACATATTATTACGATTATTTCCATTGGCTTACAAATAAATGGACGACGGGTCTAATACAAAAACTACGAAAAAAATGTCCCAAGTCAACCTATTTAAACGTAGTGACATGTAAAGGAATATGAAAAAGCTAAAACGTTGAATTTAAATTGTAATGTCATCGCAGTACTGTTTAATTTTGCTTGCTTCGCTGTCAGTCGAACAAACGAAGACTAAAGCGTGAATGACGCTCTGTACCTATACGGTTTTAACGCCCTATAAGTTCGGACACTTTTTAGCGCGGACCCGACGTCCATATAATTGTAAGCCAATGATTATTTCCTAAGTTTAAAACTTACTTTAAATGTACTTTAATCGAAAAGTTATATTGCTAAATTGAAGATTACGTGTGTTATGTATGGAAAGACGATATGACTCTAGATTTGAGACAAATTTGATTCAAAGTGTTATTCCAAAGCATTTAAGTTTATTTGAAAAGAGATCCGTAGAGTTTCTTACTCGTTATTCTCAGGGACGTCAGGGCAAAAAAATGACGTTCTCAAGTGTAAAATTATTATACCTATGGAATAAATGATTATTTGATCTTGAATTTCCCATTGATTAATCAGTACAGAGTACTAAAAAAACTGACCTCAAAAGTACGTGGAATTACGTCTATTTGCTAAGTTTTATTGAAATATCCTTAAATTCGCCACTATACAGGACTTGACGCTGGAGATAATAAAAATCGGTTCTCACTACTCAAAGTATATTGAGAGAAAAACGCCTTGAATTGGAGAAATAGCAAAATCAATCATTAAAATAATTGCTCCTAAATTAAAGTTAGGCGCTATTTATAAAAATGAATCTTCATGCGTGAACAGCCATCCTTAGAGGTGGATGATTTTCTTTAAAATGAAATGGGACCACTATGGGAAGTACCCCCTTTCCAACAAAAAAAGAATCATGAAAATCGGTTCACAAATACCGGAGTTATCGCGTAACATACATATAAAAAAAAAAAAAAACATACAGTCGAATGTAGAACCTCCTCCTTTTTTGAAGTCGGTTAAAAAAGTAGATTCAGTTCAAAATCGGAACCAATGGAAAAAGATAGGCCAGGTTCTTCAGATGAATTCTCCTTCTAACAAAAATTCCGAACTGATGTTGAATTTCTTTGACCCTTCAAGCAGCCACTTCTGTGACGTTTAACAGATCTTCGCGGTTGCATCGGACACAGGGGGTACAACAGCAGAGTCAGACATACTTTGTGTGTGTCCATAAGCACAATATTTTTGAGTCGGATTGATATACCTCAATATGTAGTCTTCTACACCGGCCAATTTATGTATTGAGACAGTTTAGGGACTTCCATATTAATAATGGGGAAAATTTTCATCTGGGGTGAAACCATTGGAATAGCGAGTTTGGCTTGCCAATGTTTGTATCCCGCTCAGCTTATAGCAAATTTGCTGGTTGGGAACTTTCATCACAACTGCGCTAGATTTCCACTGCTAGACAAAGAATAGATCCCCAAAGATCATCATAGTGAGCGGTTTTGCACGCTGGTCTCATGCAGTGGAAATTTACGTGTTTTCAAAAAGGTTTTTTCTTATGATTCCGTGACAGGACGAACAAGTCGTGGGCCTGATAATAAGCGACACGCCTGTCCATACCAGTTGCAGTGCCACTCAGATCTATAAATTGCAAAAATCTGTGGGGCATTGCTGCTACAGCCGTCACAATGAGACACAAGTGCCAAGTGCCTGTAATTTCACCAAAACCTACGGCTGCGGTATAATAAATAAATAAATAATATTAGACAACATAACTTACGCTTCTCTGATGTCAAAGTTATTAAGCAAAGCATTAGTTCTTAGGTTTTCGCGATTGTTATACATAGGAATGAAACTATTTTTCCGGATTTAAATCGCGTATATTTGTTTTTTCAAACAAACCGACGTTTAGCTACCGTGGGCAAATCTTTGTTTCAGAGAGCATATGGTGTCTGCGACAGTAATCATCTGGCGGGGGAACTTCAGCATATAAAGCAAGTCCTACATGCGAATAAGTTGAGGATTCCACGCCAATGCCGCAGACCCCGTGTGAAACCACCAACAGTCGAGCGAAGACCTGCCATCTTACCTTACGTGAGAGGTGTTACAGACAAGATCGGAAGAGTCCTCAGGTGCGCATCTATCAAGACCTATTTCAAGCCCCTGAGGAAGATTTCTCAGTTCCTGAGACCCGTGAAATGTAACATCCCCTTACAGGATGCAGGAGTTTACAAGCTTGACTGTGAGTGCGGTCTCTCTTATATTGGACAAACAAAGCGAAGTATTTGTACCCGCGTCAAAGAACATAATAGCTGATGTCAAACACCGTCGCGTAAACAAGTCTGCAGTCTGCGATCATGTCATGGATAAACCTACACATTCAATGAAGTTTGACAAACCCCAGGTCCTTGCAAAAGAAGTCCGTTATCTGCCCAGGATGCTGCGAGAGGCCATTGAAATTAAAAAACATCCTAATTTCAACAGGGAAGATGGTTTCTCCGTACCACCAGTTTGGGATCCAGTATTTCCTCTAATGAAAAATCCCAAACAGACATAATACTGCAGTACTAATTAATATGTTTTAATTTATTCTAATTTCTATTAATAATTAATAATAAATTAAAGTTAATAAAAAATTCATTCAATAAAATAATTTGTAAAACTTAATGTAGCGTAAATTGGAATGTTTTCTTTGTAAAATTAAAAATAAGGTATTTAATTAATAACTATTGTAACTATAGTGAAAAAATAGGGTGGTTTGCATCAATATTAGACATAACTGGTTGAAGACTGTACCACCTCAGTCAACCGTGACCATGGGACCTGTAAAGGGCCCGAAACGTCGGTTTGTTTGAAAAAACAAATATACGCGATTTAAATCCGGAAAAATAGTTTCATTTCCAAAGCATTAGTGTTATGGAAATCGGAAACAACGTCGGTCGAACATCCAAACCCGAGACAATATACAAAAAAAAATCTACATTTACTTGGCCGGGGATCAAACCCGGGACCTCTTACGGCATGATAATCGTGCTGGTGGGAACTTGTGGCCGAATAAAGGGGACCGATAATCAACCTCCTGGTCTAATTTCTCTACACCACATGCTTTCTCGCAACGTACATGCATTGGGAGGAGCAATAGCCTATAGCGTATATAATAACGAGGGAGGAGTGGGTTTCAAGCATCCAGATATGACGTGGCAAGCGTCGTTTAGGACTTCACTGTGTGTTTAATAAATAATAAGCAGATATAGAACATTTGCTGTCACGAATATTTTTTGATTTATTTTATGTGATTTCTTATAGACTGTAATTTAATCGATAAATCTTTTTATTTATTGTTTTAGTGGCAAGGGCATCGGTTGCAATATCGATGGAGTCTGTATAAATAACATCAGTTATGCCGATGATATGGTGCTACGGAGCCCTTCGATTGGTGTCCTCCGCAGATTGTTAAGTATATGTAAGTTGTATGCAGAGACCCATGGACTTAGGTACAACGCAAAAGATTGCAAACTTGTGATTATCCAGTAAGGCACTAAATCGTATTCTGTTGTGCCTCCGGTTAAATTTGCTAATATTCCCTTACAAAAAGTGGAACGGTCTAAATATCTGGGGCATTGGGTCACTGGTGATCCAAATGATAATTTAGATATAGAACGGGAGCGCAGGGCGCTGACTGTGCGGTGTAATATGTTGGCACAGAGGTTTGCACCTAGAGCGACTAGGTCAAGGTTTTGCTTTTCAAAGCATATTGCCAGTCCTTCTACACGTGTGACATGTGGGTCAACTTTGCGCAGCGTGCATACAGCGCACTGCACGTCCAATATATATTAATAATAATAAATTCATTTATTTAGGTAACATGGACCCAAGGTGTTAGTTACAAAATCACTTACTTCTAATGTAAGTAAATGTACACAAAACAACAAAGAAAAAGCACAATAGGACACCACTACTTATTTTTAAGTACACAGACAGTCGAGCCGGTTCGCAATCATGCTCAGGATGCTGTTGGGGCTGGCCCGAATCCTGCGCGCCAAGGATGTGCATCGTTTACGCATCGTTATGTAGAAGTAATCTACACGTGTCTCCGCGAACATCCCTGACGCGCTGCAGGATCGCGGCAGCCCATCAGCACCCTGAATGCATTATTGTATTAAACACGTAGAGCACTGTATTGTTTCTGAGTGAAACTAACCCACAGGCTGCTTGTGTAGGGCGTCGTATAATAACCTCTGAACAGTGTAATTTTTGTTTCAGTAGAACAGTATGCAAACCTGCGGGCTAACATATTGGCTCTCACAGACAATGCTCTACGCTCTCATTCAACATTGGCGTTGTCGTTGATGTCTGATGTTACTAAATGCCCTAGATACTGAAACTGATCCACTCTCTTCAGTGGACTCCCGTTTAACAGAACAGGTGGAATATTTGGCAGACATTTGTGTTTAACCTTAAATACCATGCATTCACTTTTAGTTATGTTATATTTTAAACGATGGCTAGCCGCATATCTTTCACAGATACTTATCAGTTTCGTTAGACCACAGACAGAAGCGCTCAGCAGTAACATGTCGTCTGCGTAGCTAATATTGTTGATATATATGCCGTCAATATAGCAGCCGAGACGGGCACCGCTCAGCTCTCCTATAAGTGCGTTTATGTATAAGTTGAACAGCTTGGGCGAGGATAGCCCTATCTGGCTCACACCGCATTCCAACGGGTATGGCTCAGAAAATTTTCCACCCCATCTTACAACATTGATTTGATTGTGGTACCAGTAATTGACAATATCTGTAAGTTCGGCAGGCATACAAATGTCATTTAGCTTCTGCCGTAGGATGTCATAACACGCCAAGTCAAATGCTTTTGACAGGTCGAGGAAACACCAATAAACAGGTGTATTTCGATGTTCGTAGTACCTGACAGTTCGCTTCAAAGACAGAATAGCACTTTCAGTAGAAAGCCCCGGTCTAAATCCAAACTGGTTTTCATATAAATTTAGATACGTGTCTAATTGTGAGTTAAGGAAATCGTCAAGTACTTTAGCGATTATAGTTACCAGAGAGACTGACCTATAGTTGCATTTATCGCATATGTCTCCTGTTTTGTTTTTCACCACTGGCACCACAACGGTCCTCGTCATTTCAGCGGGTAGGTATGAATGGCCTACACAAGATGTGTATAACTTCGCAAGCAGTGAAGTTAGATGGGAATCTGCGTTTTGGAGGTATTCAATACTTGGACCGTCATGGCCAGAAGATCTGCCCCTTGACATGGTTTTTATGGCTTTATTAATATCTTCTGCCGAGAATCTAGTACAAAACTCCCGACCGTGATTGTCAGTTCCACCCACACCCGCCCGTCGCGATGGCCTCAATGCGATTTTACTGTAAAACTATCCTTAAACATATTAGTTATACATTCATTCATGATCATTGATACCCTCAACATTCACAGGGAGGCCAGAACGGCTGCGCAGTTTATTGGTCGTCGTCCAGAAATTACGAAAGTCTAGTTTGTAATGATGCGACGCAATAATATCAATTTTTATCTGTTCTTCACGCCTCTAGCACCATCACAAACGAGACTTGAAATCCCTTCTGCTATCGCGCATCTCGCTATAAACACTGCCGGTCATAGGTCCGTCGTACCATAACCACAACCGTAATTTACACTTAGCCTCTGAGCCTCGCTCACATGCCTATTATATAATACTTTTAGTGTGCTATTTAAGTTGCCGCGTTACTGTAGTGCCTCGACTATGTTTGATGAGGCTCGTACGGATTGCTTTTATTTCGTTATACTAAAGTGTTGTGCTTCACACCTGACTCGGCTACGAGGCAGCACGAATGGCATCGTTAGCACCCTTGCCGCTAGATGGGAGTCTCCGATGGTGAAGTGCTGGGTGCAGCTTCACACGGCACCAAGCCGATAGCCGCGTCTCGCGCCTTTCTACAGGGGAATCTCATTAATAAATGTTCAAATGTACCTTCCCAATTCACATTACAATAAGATATGCAAAACATATAAATATAATTGTCCGTAAGTTACTCAGAGAACACTGCATGCACAATAATCTGCTCATTAGGAAAGCGCTAGTAAATTGCATTCGCGATACTAAAACTTCTATGTGCATCATAGTTGACTTGAGCAATTTAGGTGTCATACGGCGGATTTCTGATTCAATTTCCTTTTTTTATGATCCTAAGTGGGCCTGGTCTTAAGCGACACGCCTGTCCACAGCAGTTGCAGTGCCACTCCGGGGACTAAGATTCGGGGAGAAGTTTTGTTTGGTAGTTAAACCACCATTTACAGATCACCAACCTTCTATTTAGTTCCAAGATCGAGGTTCAAAAAATTGTTATGGTAATAATTATGTCCGAAAAATAGATCACCTTGGTTTAGAGTCAGATATGGAAGTATTAAACCTTGACACTATCTATGAGACAAAAGATGTTGATGCAGCAACAAATGTATTGATAACTAATTTAACTGATACAATTAACCGTAACACCAAAATTATCAAAGCACCAAACCGAAAAAGAATAAACAAGCCTTGGATATCAACTGATATACTAAAGTGTATGCGTAATAGAGACAAACTACATATGATGCGAAAGATAAATCCTGACAACGAAATTATTAAAACTACTTATAAAAGATATCGAAATTTTTGCAACAACTTATTGAATAAACTTCAGAGAGAGTACGAGGAGAATCAAATAGAGATAAATAAATTAAATAGCAAAAAACTATGGGAAACGATAAAGCATATAACAAACACAAGAAAGCAGAGGGTTTCCGCGACAGAACTAGTAGCACCTGGCAATTCGATGGACTCCTTAAATAGAGTAAACAAGCACTTTGTGAATGTTGGTGTAGAACTTGCGGAAAGAATTTTATCCAGCAAATAAAATCAACAACAAACGTACAAACTAACTAAACGTTCACATCCAAATTCTTTTGTTCTGATGCCCACTTCTGATTCGGAAATTAACTCCGTAATTGTAAGTCTAAAATCTGAGTTGGACTTGACAACATTCCTTGTAAATTTATTAAGAAATTTAAAAATAAGTTAATTCCTTTTATTACTTATATTCGTAATTTATCATTTGAAATAGGCGTGTTCCCAATCCTTTAAAAAAAATTTAAAATTCATCCGATCCATAAGTCTGGGGACCGACACTGTGTCGTAAACTATAGACCTATTTCCATATTACCTTCCCTATGAAAGATATTGGAGAGACTGATGAATAGCAGACTTACCGGCTACTTAATTAATAACCTTTTATCTTCTAGACAGTACGGATTCCGCAGGGGGAAATCTGCGGAGGCTGCTGTTCATGATCCCACCAACCTTGATAGCAGGATGAAAACATTGGTAATTTTTTTGGATCTTGCCAAGGCTTTCGACACGGTTTCGGTTCCCACACTTGTTACTAGAATGGAATGTCTTGGCATACGCGGATTTCAACTGTAACTATTTTTAACTACTTCCAGGACGTTCGCAACGCGTTGCTATAGATCAATGTATTAGTAATGACCTTCCAGTGATATTTGGTGTTCCGCAGGGTAGTATCAATAAGGTAGGACCCAATGGTCCTACCTTGTTTTTGATCTATATTACCGACCTGTGTTAATTAGACATTCAAGGTGGGCAAATATTTTCATATGCGGATGATACGGCATTGCTTTTCAGTGGACAGAACTGGGACGATGTATTTACGAAAGCGCAGCTGCACTTAGAAAAAGTTTCGCGCTGGCTAAAAAGCAATGTTCTTACACTTAATGCACATAAGATAAGGTACATTACGATCTCAAGATCAACCTAGTACTTATGATTATAACATTATAACACATATATGCGTATTTAATCGAAAATGTCAATGTTACATGTGAATATTACAATATTAGGTATCTTGGCATTGTCATTGACAATAAATTAAGTTTTCGGTCGCATATTACTCTGCTCGCCAAACGGCTGCGGAAACTTATATATGTCTTTAAAAACTTACGTCATGCAGCTGATGCGGGTATAATTAAAACTCTTTATTATGCACTAGTACAATCGTTAATAGTGTATGTAGTAAAACTACTCGAAAATGCATCGAATGTGCCCAGAGGGCCATACTAAAGGTTGGTTTCTTTTTACCGTACCGTTATCCTTCTGTGAAACTCTACCACAAATGCAAAGTTCTAACAGAAAGACAGTTGTTTATAGCTCACGTCGTCCTGAAAAAGCATAGTCAGATTATTATAACCCTATCCCATTTAATAATATAAGTAGGAAATATACTGTCTGCACATCCACAAAGTTTAATACCAAGTTCTCTAGTACATTTTTCTGCTTTCTTAGAAACTATTTAAATAATAAAATTAACAAAGTTATCCCTTTATACTCTGTAAATAAATTTGAGTGCAAAAAAGTGCTATATATTTGGTTCATCAATTTGGACTACGAATTTACCGAATTTTTACTTACTCCGCTCCAATAGAAGAAGCGCGTGACTTGCAAGCTAACACGTACACTAAATACATACTCACACACAAACATACACACACACACACACACACACACACACCTTCTCATACCACATACAATAAAAACACACACACGCTCCATTTTATATTGCTTTTAATTTACTATTATTTAAGTCACAGTGTTCATCTTTTTATTATTATTAAGTCCAGCTGTGGAAGCGAGGGCCTGGTGATTCGTCATACAGGGGATCTTAGTTTGAACTCCAGACTCTCACAAAGGTTCCTAAATGTTTTTTTTTGCTAATAATGTATGATTTACCATTGCCTTTGTGTGATCGAATAAGGTTATTATTATTATTATTGCGCCTGTCACCCTTATCCTTGAAAACCGGCTCGCAGTGATGTTCACATTACTGCTTGGCGGCAGAAATAGGTAGAGGAGAACAGAAGACAAAGATTGGAGGGATACTACTACTGCGCCTGTCTCCCTTGTCCTTAAAAACCCGATCGCAGTAATGTTCACATTACTGCGTGGCGGCAGAAATAGGTAAGATGACAGTAAGATGGCTTAACGAACTCTTTCACAAGAAGCTCTGCTGCTACTAAAATGAAACAACGTTGAAAAGTTTGTAAACCGCCAGTAGGGACGAATAATAATAGATTACTCGGTCCACATGAATACATTGTATAAAGTTGAAGAAAGGAAGAAAGGCTGTAACAATGAAAATAGTGTAAAAAACAGGCACAATATTAAAAAACACTTCCTACTTAAATACTACAAAACATGTGTGAGACAGTAAAGAACTTACCCCGAACTTACCCCGAACGGGCCGTATTTTTTACAAATATTAGTTCGGTTACTTGATTTTAAAGATATTAGATACCTAGGTTACATGATTTAAATCGGAAACTGATAAACGGATCAAAATTAGTGGTGAAGACGACCAGGAGTGCTCGTTTCAGATTTTAAGTAGAGAGGACGACGGAACGATACAAAGTGAGAACGTGAGGCAAAGGAATTACAGAACGATTCAAAATGTGAAAATAAGTGGCCAAGAACCGAAGAAAAGGTGTTGAAAAGGCAGGATTACGATGGAGGAGCATCGCCACAACTCTCTGACCACACGATGATTTTCCTGTCAGACCAGAAAGTCCAGGCACTAGATACAGTCAACAGGTATTTATAAGTCGGGGGACCACGCATGAAGGGTTATATGTTCAGTGTAAACCAGTGCCATTAAAAGATACAATGTTTATCCGCTCACGCGATGCGCTCCTCCTACTGCAAAATGGCGGCTATTTGGTTTTGCAAATTAGAAAAGGATTCAGTTTAAATACAAGTTTTTATAAATACAAATTATTATTCTGCATTGCTAAATAAATACCCTCCGTACTACCAATAAAAACATCTCAAATAAAATGCAGTAATGAAATTTTTGGTGTACTTGGATAAATATAATAATACTCCGTTTGAGTGGTTCTAACGTTTACCATGAAATTACTCTTTAAAGTATAGTTTATAAACATTTATATTCAGGGTAAACTTAAAAAACGCTACTTACGGTATGTAATATCATTGTGAAATCATATGTGAAATCACTAGCCCAAACAATAACACACACGATTGTCATGACGTATTTTTGAAATTGTTTATTTTTTTTA